AGGAGACTGAGGCAAACTGGGTGACTTGCCCAGGGTCACATAGCTAGTAAGTAGTGTTTGAGGCTGGATTTGAACTCAGGAAGATGAGTCTTCCTGACTCCAGGCTGGGGGCTCTATCCACTGCAGCCCCACCTAGCTGCCCTGATAGTGTCTGAGGCTGGATTTGAACTCTAGTCTTTGGGACTCTAGGCTCCATGCTGTATACACAATGGTGCCCCTAGCTGCCTTGATATACTGTACTCCGGGGTTTTATGAGGTGACTCTCTTCTGTATGTCTGAGCACTCCTTCCTAGTCCCCTTTGCCAGGTCTTTATTCTGTTCTTACCCTTTAGAGGTCAGTGTCACCCCAGTTCTCTTCTGGGCCCTCTTCTTGCTCTAGTCTAGTTCACTTACCTCTTTATCAATGGTCATGTCTATGCAGATGATTCACACTCAGATCTACTCCTCTGACCCTAACCTCTCTCCCTACCTCCAAGTCAGCCATCTCCGACTACCTACCGTCAGCTCAACCTACCAGTCCAGCAGACACCTGAATTCATCATCTCCTTGACAAGCCCTTGGGTCTCCTAAAGTCCTCCCACTGGCCCAGCTCAGCCTCCGAGTTCTCCTGGAACTACTCCCACACTCCCACCCCCCACAGACAATCTGCTGCCCAGACCTGCTGTTTCTCTCTTTGTAACATGCCCCCTTCTCTTCTCCGACACTGCCCGTCATCCTGGTGTAGGTCCTCAGCTCCTCATACCTGGGCTATGAAATAGCCTCGAATGTGGAACTAGGTACTTTCCCCCCCAACTCCAGCCCATCCTCTGCTCAGCTGTCAAAAGCAAGGTGGACAATGTCACACCCTCCCCACTCAATAAACTGGCTGCTCCCCATCCCTTCTAGAATCAAACTGAAATACCCAAAACACTTGGAAAGCTTTTCATATTTTCACCCCCACCTAGCATCCTAGTCTTTGGGCACCTCACTTTCTTCCATATACTTTGATTCAGTGACTGGCCTCCTTGCAGTTCTCAAGCAAGACATTCCATATCCCAATTCTGGCAGTTTTTGCTGACTGTCCCCCATGCCTGAAATGCTCTCTCCCCTTGCCTTCCCCTCCCCCAGCCTTCTACAGGAAGCCTTTCCCAACCTCCCTTAATGCTAGCCCCCCCCCCATTTTCTCCAATTTACCCTGTATTTGGCTTGTTTACACATAGTTGACCTGTTCTCTCCCCCATTAGGCAGTGAGCTCCTCAAGGGCAGGGGGTTTTTATCTTTCTTTGTGCACAGTGCCCCAACTTAATGTTGACTGACTGACTGACTGATCACACCCCACAGGGGTGATTAGGATAGTAGAGACCACTAGCCACCTCTGCTTCATCAGTTTGTCCCTGCCAAGACTCCACATCAGAGGCTTATTTCTAGGGACTTCATCAGCTTCTGTCAAATTGCTGGACACCCCAATTCCCATGGGCATTCAGAGGAGTCAATAGCTGGCAACAGTGGAGGAACACCAGCTGGTGAGTCAGAAGAGGATTTTATTCCTGGCTTTGCCACTTGCTACCATCCCTTTAAGGCCTTTGGAACAGCAGAGCTGGGAGGCCCCTTTGGCCCCCCACAGTTCTCTGCCTCCAATATCATTTACCTCCACAGGCAGTACAATGAATTCTAGAACTAGGGCACTGGAAAGGACCTGGGCCCAACCTCAGGCCAAAGCAGGAACCCCATGCCTACAATATTCCCCCCAAACTTCATTTTGACCCTCCTTGGGAAAGCCTTGTGAATCCCCTCCAGGTCTCTATCCCCTCCTGGTTTTAGCCTGGTTTCCGATTCTGTTCCAGAACCTACTTTCCTACTTTGCTTTACTTGTCTGCTTGTTTACATGGCATGAGGATTCTATCTTCTACCTGAACAGGAACTTCCCAGTGAAGGCAATCCCATGCCTGGGTCCCCAAACCAGGAAGTTTCCAATAGTGCCATGAAACCCTCCCAGCCACAGCCTCAACACAGAAGAGAAGGAATGATGCCTGTGAGGGTACAGTACCATGTGGCCTCCCCCAAACTTCATTGGACCTTAGGCTTTCTTAACTGAAACATGTGACCCAGAACGAGAGTCGCTTGTTCAAGCTGCCCTGGTCAGGCCTCATCTGGGGATCTGTGGATGCCACAGTTTGGAAGGGACACTGAAAAGCCAAGGCATGTCCTGGACAGAAAAGGGATGCCAAACCATGCTGCCCGAGCATCCGTTGGAGGGATTGAGCAGTCTGAGGCCAGAGAAGATGGGGGAATGATCACTGGCTGCAAGTGGCTCCCAGGCTGTCACATGGAAGAGGAGAGAGACATTCTAAGTCCTGTCCTGCTTGGCTTTCAAAGGCAGAACTGGCATCCACGGGTCAAAGTTAGAGGTAGCAGATTTCAGTTCCGAACCTCTCAGAAACACAAATTTTGCCTTGAAAGGTAGTGAGTTCCCCATCACCTCAGGGCCCTCAGGGCCCTTCCCTCCAGCCTCCTCCAAATAACCTAATTCAACACTATTACCCATTGTCCTCCAACACTCTTAGCTGGGAGGGACCAGGACCTGGCCCTGCGCTGAGCTGGAAGCTTCCAAGTCTTTGTCTCCTCACAGAACTCCTAGCATCTCTGTCCTGTACTTAGTCTTTATTTGTTGAATTAAACATGGAACTGGACTTTGATTTGCATTACATTTCATCTTGTTTTCATTTCCTCATTATTAGAGCCTGGGAAGGACTTTTGGGGAAGAGAAGGGTGTAACAGTGGATGATACATAGAGCCTGAAGGAGGAAAGCAGGGGTAATATGGCACCCCCGGGGAAAAGCTGGGGGATACAATGTAACAGAAATAGGTGTTACAGTGTAACACAGGAGGCAAAGAGAAAGGCACTGGGTGACACGATAAACCTGGAACAAGAGGAAGGGGGCTGGTAACGGAGAAGTGATACAGTATAACACCCAATAGGCCTTGGATCATACAATGTAACAGAGCTAGGAGACCTGGGGTAGCACAGGAACTGAGTGATAAGATGTCATCTAGGAGTGGACAGAGCCTAGTTTACGCAGTGTAACAGAGGTGATACAGGGTAAGATACCAGGTTAAGAGCTGGGGTGGGGCAACTGAGTGATTCAGTGGCTAGAGCACCTGGCTTAGAGAAAGGACAGACCTGAACTCAAATCCAGCCTCAGACACTTACTAGTTGTATGACCCTGAGCAGAGGACTTCACCTCTGTTTGCTTCAGTTTACTCCTCTGTAAAATGGGGATAATGATAGCACCTACCTCCTGGGGTTGTTGTGAGGATCCAGCAAGAAAAGATTTGCAGGCAGCTATGTAAACGTGAGTGATTATTGACACAGAGGAAAGTCAGGTGACAGCAGAACACAAGGGGATGCAGGGGAATGCAACCAGGAGCTTGCCCCAGAGTAAGCCCTTAACAAATGCTTGTTGCTTTGTGTCAGCCTTTGCTCCTCAATGTCCAAGCTTCCCTTCTGTACAAGCTCATTCCCTTCTTCCTACCAGCACAGGCCCACCTTTAGGAGCCCTCATTAGACCCAACTTTCCCCCCAAGCTGTTATCTCATTTCTCTTCCCTTTTTTACAGTCACATTTCTAGGAAATTTATCTTATTTTGGCCTCTACTTTCCCTCCTCTCATTCACTGAAATCTTCTCAGTGTAGCTCAGGGGTGGGGAACCTGCAGCCTCGAGGCCACATGTAGTCCTCTAGGTCCTCAAGTACTGCCCTTTGACAATCCAAACTTCACAGAACAAAACTCCTTCATAAAAGGATTTGTTCTGTAAAACCGTAAGAAGCTGCACTGTAGCTTCTGACTCAGCTGAACACCCCCTCTCCCAGGTTGCCAGTGATCTTTTAATTACCAAATCGCATCCCCTGTCCTCTTTGTCTCTCCATAGCCCCTGACAGTGCTGACCAGCCCTCCTCCTCAAAGCTCTTTCATCCTGAGCTTTCCAGGATCCTGCTCTCCACTGGCTCCCCTTCTGCCTCTCCACAGGGTCCTTCGGCCTCCTTATTTCATCCCCTGACTAGGGGCGGATCCTAAGGCTCTGTGCTGGGACCTTGCTTCTTCTCCACTTCCACTCTCACTTGGTGATCTCATCAGCGGCCATGGGCTTAAACACCACCTCCATGGCTCTCAGGTCCAGGCTCTGGCCCCCAACGTGAAAAAGGGCAGGGAGGAATTCTGAGGTATGGTGATGCTGCTTTCCAAATCCCCACCAACTTGAATTTCCAGTGGCACTCCATGTGTACGTGTGTGCGTGCATGCGTGTGTGTGTGTTTGTGTGTGTAATATGAGGGTCTGAAGTAGTGGTGTGGATTTCTGTACAAAATGTCTCCGAGGTAAAAAGCCATGGCGTAGTTGGGCGGTGGGGAGCCTGACGGTCAGGAGCTGTTTCTGCGGGGATCAGACTCCAGGCCCCCGCCCACCATGGTTCTCGGTCCCTCCTCCCTGTCCCGCCCCCTGCACCTGCCTGCCTCTGTAGCCGGGGTGGGGGTGAGGGTCTGAGCAGGGGGAGCCCGCCTGGGGTGGAACGGGGGCCTGGACCCTCCCCTCACTTCCTTCCCAGTAGGTAGCTCCAAGGAGGGGAGTTGTGTTTTACTCCACCCCTCCCTCCTGCAGCTGGTCGGTGGTGGGGTAGCCGAAGGGAACCAGGAGGGACCCTTCCCCCTCTTCTCCAGTCCCCTCCTCTAGCCGGCCCGCTTTCTCCTCCCCTCCTCTCCTCCTGGGGAGCGATAAGGTCTGTTGACTTTGGCTGTGCTGGCTCCAGTGGGCTGGGTAAGAGAGCCCACCCGGTCTCCGCACCCGAGCCTCCCGCGCACGGCTCTCTCTTCTCCCGGCTTTCCTGCCCAACAGGAGGGGGCCCCGGCAAGTTTCTGGTCTGGTCCCCACTCCCCAGGCCTGGTCAGCTCCCCCCTCCCTCTTTCCCCCCGGGCGACTCCTCCCCTCCTCCGCCCCCCGCCTTCCCCCCCCCCCCGCCTCCGCGGCCCCCTCCAGAAATTAAGGCAGCGGAGCCGGGGCGCCAGACAGCACCCTACGTGAAGCCCTGCGCGAAGCGGCCAGGCCATGGAGAACGAGTCAGGGGAGAAGCCTGGGGCAAGGGCCGCTGAGGCCGAGCTCGGGTTCGAGGCTGATGAGGCGCCGGTGGGGCTGCGCGAGGCGGTACGCGCCTTGAGGGCGGACGTGGCACACTTCCAGCGTGGCGTGGAGCAGCGAGTGGCCGAAGCGCTGGGGCTGGCGGGGCCCCTGGCACGCACCGTGGCCGAGCTGCAGAGCGAACACGAGCGGCTGCGGGCCCACCTGGGGCAACTGGCACGCCACGTGGAGGCGCTGGCGCGCGCCACCGGCCTGCCCCTGGACAGCGGGCCTGAGCCCCGGGCCGAGCCGGCGTCCCCCGGACCCCGTGGGCCCCCGCGCTTCGCCAGCCACGCAGTGCTCTCGCTGTCAGGCCGTGGCCAGGTGAGTGAGCGCCTCGTGGACCGGAGGAAGGGAACGGAACGGGACAGAATGGGAGCGAGCGGGAGGGCCCAGTCCCAACGGGGCTCAGCCTGCAGGCGGTGAGAGGAAGGGCCCACCCCGGCCCTGCCAGGTCGGATCCCTCCTCCTTTTGGGCCCGCTCCAAGGGGCTAGTTTGAGAGCCTCTTTCTGACCTCCAGCCTCACATTTTACCCCTTTCTAACCCCAACTTGTTGCTCCTGCTTCCGCCCTCTGGGGCCAGATGCAGCTCCTCCCGCATTGGCCTGCCTCAGTTTCCCTAGCTTGTTCCATGGCAGGCGGAGGCCGACTTCCAGGCTCTATGTCAGAGCCCTCGGGATGTGGTTTGGGCTCCCGGTGTCTTAGCCGGCCCTTCTCTGGCCAAAAGTCTCTGGTTGGACCAGGAGCTGGGCGGGGCTTTGGGATCCTCGCCTACAGCCACTGTGTTGGGGTCCAGAATAGGGGTCTTCGGCTGCTCGGCAGGCATCGCACGACCTAGCTACTTGCTTGCTAAGGGCTAAATGACAAGGATGAGCAGTGGGACAGCTGTTGGAGGGCAGGCCACGAGTGGCTGGTGACTGACCCCTGTATTTGAGAACGGGATGAGGAAGGTACTTAGTAAACCATGCTGCATGACCAGCCGGAGAAGATGTGTGTGTGTGTGTGTGTGTGTGTGTGTGTGTCAGAGCAGTGGGGGTGGGGGCTTGGAGGAGAGCCGGATTGGGGACTGGCCGTCTCTGGGTCCACCTGTTTCTCAGCTTCAAGGGACTGAATCTGTCGGGAAGGCTCCTCCACACCCTCCTTTTCCTGAGGGGGAGAGGCTCTTTGTGACCCTGCACTATGATGTTAATGACCCTTCTGCACCTTCGAATGGAAGGAGTGGCCTTGGAGAAGGTCCACAGCCAGAAGGCTTTAAAGTGACCTGAAATGAGGCATGCTGAGGAGGATGGGGCCTGCCCTCACTGATTAACCCTGAGACTCCAAGGCTGGAGGCCAGGGGACTGATGCTTCCCTGTGTAGGTGGGTCCAGGTGAGTGATTCGGGTTTGAGAAGGCAGCCAGCCCAGTTCTTAGGCTCTCTGAGTGGTTTAGCAGATCCCCAGCCAAAGTGTAGAGTTGGGCGAGGGGGAGCTCAGGCCACAGGTCCTCGGAAGTCTCTTCAGTTCTCAAGGCTGCCCCCTGGGAGAGTCCTGAGAAGAAAGACAGAACTGAGGCCCAGGGGGCTTTGCGTTCCTCCCTCTCAGCCAGGCTGCTTCAGCTTTTGGAACAGCTTGGCCACAAGCATAGACTGTCCACATCTAGTTCCCTGATCCTGCCTGTCTTCTGGTCTCTCGGTCACTCAATTCTTACTTCTCTCTAAGGTGGTCCATACCAGTCTCCCTCTCCCTGTCCCCCCTTCTTCCTCTTTCCTTCTCTTGGGCACCATCCTCACCACCACCACCTCTCTGTGGTTAAGTCTCAGGGTCTCTGGCTGGTAGATTTGAGGAAGGACCAATGCACTTGAGGAGAGGACTGTGTGCCCTAGGGAGGAGGAAGCAGGACCCCAGAGTAGGCCCCGGGGGTGCCCTGGCTGAGTCACACCCCTCTTCTGAGTTTGCTTGCTATCTACGACCTGAGGTCAATGCTGCTTGAATCCTCCCTGGGGGGAGGGTGTGTCTCAATGGCACCCTGGGCCCCAGAACCTCAGCAGTTGGAGACTGTTGGGGGCTGACTTCTTCCCACTATCCTCCCTGTCCAGCCTAGCTTGGCACCACCAATGGTGGCTCCTAGAAGCATACCGGAGCTTCCCATGGACATCATGTCTTATCTCCTACTGTGGCTGTGTATTCTCTGCTGGCACCTGCCACCCCTCCTCCCCCACTCCTTGAACAAAAATAGGCACTGTGTAGACCCTGCCTTCCTGGGGCTTATGGTCCAGTGGAGGAGGGGAAGTGGACAATGAAGGCCATGGCCAAGAGGTAGAGTGGGGGTTGACTGGTACCTGAGTGAGCATGGGAAGGCAGGGAGCCACACGAGCCCCCCTCTCAGGCCCAGAATTGGTGTGAGCTGGGCATGGAGATGGCAGTGGCTGTGGGGTGGGCCTGGCTTGGAAAGGCCTTCTGGCCTTCGCCATTTGAAAGCCTTCTCCTCCTCTTGGGGAATGGCCGAAGGGTGCTTAATGTGCCTGAGCTTCTGGGGCTAGAGCTTGGGAGCTCAGTCCACCGAAGTTGTTAGCTTTGCCTGGGGGTGGGGGAGGTGCAGTATCTCCTTGGAAAAGCTAATTTGGCCTTGCCTTTTCTAAGGAGGCTATTCACTTCAATTCTAGTGGGTCCCTGGAGGCTGTGGGTTAGAGGCCATAAAGGAAACAGCTTCTGCCCTCGGGGATCTTATCTGGGTGGGTAGGGGAGGGCATACTTTTTGCCCTTAGAAGCCCATCTGTTAACAGTCATTCTAGTAGGGCTATCTGACAGTGTGGGGGTTGGGAGCCCTGTGGGAAGATCCAGTCCCCAGAGGTGAGGAGGCAGCACCTTTTAGGTGTGGGCTGCTGGTCTGACCCCTGCCAGTTCGAAGAAGGAGGGAAAGGCCAGAAATGGGGTGATTGCCTGTGTATTAGCAGGGGAGCCCCTTGGGTAGAGGCCTGGGGGCCTGGAGACCTCACAGGCTCACTCACCTCTGCTCCTTACTCCTTCGGCCCCAGGGATGGACTCTCCTGCTTCTCCTCCTGGCTGCCTCTGGCTCTGTTCTTGGATCATAATTCTCTTCTGCCCCTCAAGGTGCAGTCCTGGGTTCTCTTCTCATTCCCTTGGCTCTTTCTTGAGTTCAGTCCACCTGTCCCTCTGTCCCTCTGCTGTCCTCTGCTCCCTCCATGCCAGCTTCATGGGTTCATTCACTTTCCCTCATTCCTCCCTGTTCAGTCTCTTGGCTCCCTTGCAGCCCCAAACAAATGGATTCCCTTGAGAAAGTCTTCCCTGATTCATTCCCTCCCTGCCCATTGGACCTCTGCCTTTCACACCTCTCCTGAAAAGGTCTTCTCTTGTATGTGGGCTCTTTCTCCCCTGCTCCCTGAGGTCTTTGAGGCAGGGACCTGGCTTACCAGAAGTAAACTAGGCTACCTCGCTGAATGTGTGAGCAAAGGGGTCAGGAGAGACATGGGGGGAAGAATGTTGTAGAGAGCCAATGCACAGGGCTTGGCAGCAGGGGTGTGGGGGGAGAGACCAAGGACCTACCCAGAGGAGGGGAGATGGCCGGGCTATCACACAAAGCTGGCCAATGGGAAGCAGAAGCTTTGGCATGAATGCAGTTGAGGAGGCTAGTGTGGTAAAATGGGGGGGGGGAGGCTGGACCTCCCCCCCTCCACAGAGGAAAGTGACTAGGATGTTGGAGGGCCAGGAGGAGAGCCGAGACTGAGCTGGTCCCAGGAAAAGCTCTGACAAGGTGAGGAGGGCCGAGCTGGGGAGGGCTGCAGTCCTGGGCATGGGAGAAACAGCTGAAGGAGAGAAGGCAGAGTGGCTGTGATGGTGGGCCTTGTGTGTCTGGAAGGTAACCTCCTTGTGGGTTTGGAAGAACTCAGAGCCCCACCAAGAGGCAGGTTTAGGCTTTAGAGAAGAACCTTGTAGAACCACCCATCTCTCCCAGCTCTGAAGGCCTATGTTGGGTGCCCATCACAGGTGGGCTTCAAGGAAGGTCTGCATCCTGCTGCAGGCACAGAGGCCCTTCCAGCTCTTCTAGGGAAAGAGGTCCTAGAAAAGGCCATTGGAGGTAGGGAGGTGGATGGGGGGGGGGTGACTAATGGGGGAGGGCAGTGTGGAGGGGGAAATCCTAGAAAAGGTAAAGGTAAGTGAGTACTCAGGAGTTAGGCAGAAAAGGTGAGGAGGGAGATGATGACTTGAGGAAATAGGTTCCAGTGAAGAGACTCTTTTTAAAGGATGTAGGAGATCCAGTTTGAATAACGAGAGAGTCCCTCCATTGGCACCTCTCTGTCTCCCATTCTTCACTGTTCCCCTGCCAGGCCGGAGGGGCCAGGGATCCTGATTCACTGCTCGAGGCCCAGCCTCATGGGGGTATTGGGGGCAAAGCCTGAATGGGGGTGACTCACCCACCTTGCTTGCCTGAGCTGCCCTCCCCCTCACTGCTCCTCCTGCCCTGCCCCAGGCTGCAGGCCCAGCTGCTACCACCCTGGGCACTTTTGGGGTCAGGAACCACAAAGAGGTGGAGGGTCCCTTTCCTAAGAAGGGACTAAAGTCCTGGTGGGGAATTGGCCTGGACTCTTGTGGGGTTAAGTATAAGCAGCTTTGTGGCCACATACATTACCCCTGTGGCTTTTGCCACAGAGCCTGGACCCCACTTGAAGAGGCCTCCAGCTCTCAAGTCAGGACCTGGGTTCAAATTCTGCCTATGTCATTTATTGCCTGGATGACCTCAGACAAGTCACCTTCTCTGCACCTCAGTTTACTCATCTGTAAAATGAGGTGGTTGGCCTTGCTGGCCTTTCAGGCCCCTGCCATTACTAGCTTTTCTGCTGCATTAGAACTTCAGAAGGAGATTGGCAGAGAGCCGGGGGAGCCTGAGAAAAGCCAGGCATTTCTGTCCATCCAAGCTCAGCCCTGTGCGAGGCTCCCTGGGGAAGGGGGAGTGAGAGGGCTTCCTCTGACTGTGGATGGGCCCAGGAGGCTGGGCTGGTCTCCAGAGGAGTTACCTGAGACCACCTGCAAGTACCATTAGCTGAGAGGGGAACAAACCAGGGACCTCTGAGCCCCAGGCCCCTCCGGAAGGCCTTGGTGTGAGACAAGCCAGGCTCAGCCTTATCTCTCTTTCCCTGCCAACCACGTTATTTTTATAACAAAGTGAACGACTTTGGGGAGAGGTTTAAATCAAGTCCTTCAAAGCCACGGACTAAGGAAAGGAGCCCAGGCTGAGGTGTTATGAGTCTTCTGTGTCCTGGGAAGGCTACCCAGTCTGGGAGCCCACAGGGTCATCAGGGTGTCTGTGCCTGGGTTTGGGTAGATG